TGGCCTCCCTCCAGCTCACACTTTCAATAACCAAGAGACATTTTAATGGTCCTTCTGCAAGTGAGCATACGCATGTAGATGCTTGTATGTCTATGTGGGACCGTTTTTACATTTTATAAGTGGGTGCAAATGTTAGTATGTATTTGTACTGTCTGCCACTTGTTGTAAGGCTAGCTGGCTAAATAAATACATCAGATGCCGGGCTCAAAAGAACACATTTGTCTTTCTCCTGGGACTATGTGAATTATTTAGAATGAAAGCTGGGGAGAGAGATGACTAACAGTAGCGGGTGACATGGATGGAGAGGAGAAAGATGGTGAAGGGTGGGGGAAGGGGAGTGGAAGACCAGATGGGCAGAGGTGGCACTGAGCCAGGGAGAGCTGGTATAAAGAGGGGGGTAAAAAAGTGTGATAAAAAAGAGCAGGGGAATGAGGGGGTAGTAAATGATAGTGGCTTTGAGAGGGGGCTTCAGTTGAAGGGAACCAAGGAAAGGAGGCTTAATAAAATAAAAGTCAAAGAAGAAAATATGAGGTGACTTCTGATAAGTCTCAAAGCTTCTCCAGAACATTCCGGCCTGTTGACCCAACTCACCCTCATTTCACCTGGCCACATGGTCCCCCCCACAGGGGGCAGGGAGAGAGGAGTGGAGACAGAGAAACAGCATGTTATACAGAATACTGCAAAAAAAAAAAAAGACAAATACAAGAAGAGGGAGAAAGATAAAGAGGGGAGAGAAAATGAGGAGGCAAACTAACAGAGGTGTTAGAGGAAGTCGTGAAGCACTGCTGAGATCAGTGGGATAGAAATTAAGTGCACACATTTTTAGCAGTGTAGGGAGTGTAGGGTAAACGAGTGAGGGAAATAAAAAAAGTGAGAGGGGGAAGGGGAGGAGAAGGAAGGCGTGTAGTAAATTACAGAGGGAAGGAGAGCAATAGGAAGGAATAGCAGGGTGGTGAATGTGCCTGGAGCTGGATTGTGGAGCAGCAAACAACAGAGATAATAAGAGAATCTGCTGAAGGCACACGCCACACTCAGTAATTATATAGAAAGATCAGCCTGCCTTAATTAGAACAGGATGGAGCTCATGAATGAGACAAACACACACAAAACACACAAATACCCACGAGTAATGCAGCAGTTGTGCAGCAAACTGTTACATAATTTATTTCCCCCCTTGGTCTGTTCCTGCTGCTGGTATTTCATGGGACTGGAGAGCGCGCATGCACTCATCACTGCAAGTTTCATGTCATGCAAGCTTTGACCCTGAATACACACAGAGTCAAGATGTATAGTGACAAAGCTGTGTGTGCACAATTCTTGCTGGCATACATGGCTACAGCATAATATCGCTTCTCACCGGTTCTGTTTTTTTTAATTCCCTCTGCTTTTACACCTTATTACACAAGAGGAAGCTGACTGAGCACATATAATAAATTTCAATCACATTCTCCTCTACATTTAAATTCCTCTTCATATTCACAACTAGAAGCTGGTAAAAAAAGTGCCAGCACAGGCTTCAGAGCCTCGTGGGGATAAAGTGTTTCTCATTCACATAAGATGCCAGGATTTTCTCCATTCAGTTCATTTGTTGTAACTAAATTTTAAGAGAAAAGGTAAAGAGAACTCCGAGTAACATTTTAGCATTATTTCTTTTTTTCAGCTTTCTTATAATTAGAGAAATAATTCATTTGGTTATTACGCGCAAAGCAGGAGAATCGAAAACCCGATGTTCTAATTTAATGGACGCTAATTTTTCCCACAGATTTTAATCAGCAGCCTTACTGATGGTTTGTCAGTGGGAACCGCAGTCAAATTTACAGCTTCTCTTAAAATATTTACAGCAGAATTTGAAAAGTCAGTTGAAAGTGATGATTAACTGTCTTATACCCAGTCTACTTTTAGATCTTGCTCTGGGGTTATGCAGTTTTCTATGCCTGTAAATTTATACTTGGGTCTTCAGAACTGTTGTTTTTTCTAATGACTAACAAAAAAAATATATAATGAGCGCAAGTGGGCATGTGGAAAAGCATACCAGTATGCACAGACACAATGGGCGTAGGCATTAGTGTCACTTTATGTGTGTGCCTGCATTGTTAGTGCTCGTCACTGTGGTCATCACTGTACCTACTGTTCCACGAGTCATCTGTTATAATTATCTAAAAGTGGTTAAACTGAAGAGGTTTTGTACATACGATATTTGAAGAATTTGGACGACGAGCTGTGCCCTCTTGTTAAACGTAGTTAACTTCAGTCAGTAGGCAATTTAATAAGTATGTCTGTATAAGCATTAAAAGACAGCAATTTGAAGAAAGCCAGTGTTAACTTCATCTGACATGACTGTTACAGTGCATAAGATAATAATCCTCTTCTCTGCTGCACAGCTCTGTCTGCTTACACCATTATCAGTAGCCGCTCACTGGCTATTCAATATTATTGACCTGCACTGAGACATTGTGTGTTTGCACTCACTCATTTATAGAATTAGACCCAGGAGTAAATAAGACGTAGTTAGAGAACGCGCACAAACACACACATTAGTTGAACAAGATGGTGCTGTTACGCCATGAGTACCTGCTTTCCATTCACTATATTATACGTACAGCAATCCATCATGCATGTCCTCCATATAATGTACAAGCATGACTGCAAAACACACTCCATTACAACCACACACACACACACACACACTCACACTATCCATTTCAAAATCACATATACACACTCCTGTCTTTGTTTCACACATACAGTGAAATCAAACCTGGTGTGTGTCTGCTGTGTTGTTACGGACACCACAATGTGCTACTGAATGTGTGTGTCCTTTATTATGTGTGTATGAACAGTCCCAGTGCAATTCCCTGGTTTAGTGAAGCATTACGGCTGATCAATAGCTCTGGTGCAGTGGGAGATGTCGGGGCTGGGGCTGCATTTTCATATCATTACAGATGAACTAAGAAATAAGGCACTACAATGGATGTGTGCACCTGGGTAAATACAGTATATGTATATGAGAGAGAATGACAGGACCTGTCAACTGGGAGACCACACTGAAGGTTGAGCACCAAAGACACAGTGTAGGACTTCTCTCTCTCTCTCTCTCTCTCTCTCTCTCTCTCTCTCTCTCTGGGCTTCCTGCCTTCACTGGTGTCACTGGACTTCACCATCCTTGTCTGTTCATTCCTTTGCTGTCCTAATCTCACTTGTCTTCTGTTTTTTTCCATTCAAAATGTTTTTATTCTCCTGTCGCTGCCTCATCTGTCCTTCCTGTGTTACCCGACTTTGCTCAGAGCTCATCATTACATTGCTCTCAGCGTCTTTTACTTTGTCTGTTCATCAGATTTTATTGTCCTCACCTCAGTTCTTACTGCAGAAAAAGCATTGCTGCTAATTACATAAAGCAGGTCAAGCAACACATACTTTGTTTGCACACAGACCAACTGCCAATATCACTGAGCAGTACTTGTCTCCAACTGTCAAACACTTAGTGTAGGACTAGGGATTCTGCAACAGAGCAAATGTTCAGCATGACTTGTGAGCGGTGCAGCAGCCTCTACCAACTCTCTAGTGATACTTGTTCCATTTCTATTCCAATTTATAGGACTGAGTGTCTTATTATCTAAAAAACGAGAAGTGTTTGTCTCTTCAAAAAATGTGCCAAGGTGCACCAAATGACAAAAACCCCTTCATGGCCGCTCATAATTTTTCAGCATCTAAAATGAGAGCTGTTAGTTTAAGAGAGATGAGCAGCGTGAATGCAGCATTTCCCCTTATTGGTGTGCTTTATCCTCTGAACTTTCTCTGCTCTAGCCTTTCCCTAGCCTCACTTGTTTTCTACTTTTCTAACTCAACATCTAAGTACCAGACACATGCAGTTGAATAATTTCCACTCAGTCTAAATTCTATTAATTTTTATCTGGCATCGGTCTTCTAGCAGCCCAGATTCTCATCCACTGCCATCTTCTTTGTCCTAATCTCTAGTACCCAGTAGTACTTTATACATTTGCCTCTATACAAGTTAGTCTTCCATATCATTTGCCTGTTTTATTGCTTGTCTCTCATTTGGTGTCTTCTCAGTTTCTGTTCTCTCAAAATGTTATTGTGATGTTGGTAGGAAAGCTCAAAGATCAGAGGTCTTAACATTTACTGGCACAGTGACTTCAAAGTAACAACATGATGAGTGACAACTTTCATAACTGTAAACTGGAGCTCTAGATCACATACAGTACACAATATCAACTGCATCTACTGTATCAACCCAAGCAACGTGCACTATGAGGAGTTCAGCACTCCTACTCAGTTTCTCTTTTATTACAATGCGGGCAGTCTGCTGTTCAGTGACTCCAACACCCACGCTGCATTGCACAACAATGCAAGATGGTGTGTGAAAGCTAACAGCAACAGTCAGACAATCAAACTGCTGCTGTTGAATGAGCAATGGGTTGTGACATAAGATTCCAATACTGTCAGAATCTGTTCACGTCAGAGTGCGGCACCCAATGCCGCCCACTGGCTTTACACTGATGGTGCCTTATACAGCAATGCTGTAATCAGCTTGTTTAAAGACTGTCATCTTTTTTTATTGTGGCAAAATTATTCGTCCTGTTTTGTTTTCTTTTAGGATACCGGTGCGAGGTCCTATAAAACCAAGAAGAACTGAAATAAGCTGCTATTTCAAATTCTTTGCTTGAGGAAAATGCAACATTCAGGACTGAAATGAATTGGAAAGACAGCTGGTTTTTTAACTTTAACTCTCTGTTGCTGCAAACTTTCTCAGACCAGACCAGCTGTTTACAGTTTTGTTATTTTAGCAAAAACTCACTTCATGTAGTCAAATCAACTTCCCTCCTTCCTTCTTTTACTTTGACATCTACTTTGAAAACATTTCTATTCTTTGTGCTTTTATTTTGTTCTTTGTTTTTTTTTTTATACCTTTCTTATTTCCTCTGTTGTTTGTCCTCTTTCATCTATCTGTGTATCCCACTATCGGTTTATTCATTTCCTACCTTCACAGCTGCTGTGTCCCTCCTCGTAGCCGGCGCTGCAACTGCACTTCCCAATGGGCACCAGCCATTCCCCTTCAGCGCTGCAGTGCATCCTGGGAGGGCTGTCTGTGTCAACCTCAGAGTTGTTGACGCAGTTTCCCCGCACTTCTACTAGTGTGGCGAAGGCCGCCTCAGCCACCGTGTCGGGGAAAATGGCTAGATTCTGGACGGTGGCGAGGCAGCGTTTGTAGTACACGCGCACAGCCACCAGAGCCACACAGGCACCAACGTCCTGGAATGCCAGATGGAAGCCCTTACGGTTGAGGTGGCCAATCTCACGCACCTCCGTGTTTAGCTTCATCTTCCTCTCACCTAGGTCACCCTGCGTGAAGCTTTCATCTGCAGCAATGGTGTCAATCTTGGTGTATCGATCCTCTCGAGTCACACCGCCAAGGTCCCTGTCCGACTCGACGTAGAGGAGGTTAAAGGTCTCCTTGCAGGTGCCTGCTACACCAGGGATGCTGTTGCAGTCACGCAATGTGAACTGGAGCTCCACAAAGATGCGCTGGCCGCCTCGGCGTGCCACCCAGCCAGTCTGCAGCCAGTTGTTCTGCTGCGTGGGCTCCATCACGTTGCACACCTGGTACGTCCGGATAGGCTTGTACTTCTCATCTACACCGCTTATCTCCTCCCACTGGAGAAAGAAGAAGTAGAAGGGAAAGTGAAATAGGAGCAGAGGGACAACAAAGGGCAAAGGAGAACAACAGTAAGGGGATAGGAATATGGCAGAAAGGAAGAGAGTGAAGTAACGGCATGAGATGGAAAAAAAATGGACAGGAGGCAACAAAAATAATGAAAAAGAAAGTCAAAAACAGAACGCATGCAGTCACTTCAGGCTGACAGTCTAATGACAATCTGCTGAGTGGGAGTGTGGGTGACTGACTCAGATTCTCTAATAACAGGACAAACTGCACATCCTCAGTCATTACATCAGCCTTGAGATGTGAAGTTCAAACTGTGGTTCAGACCTTAACTGCTTCTTCAGCTAGTTTATTTTGACGTCAGTAACCTTTGCTACTAAAAGAAATGGCACTTGAGAGGAATGTTTGCTAAACACTGCTGCCTTTGCTCTGCTGGCTCACTCAAGAAATGGCTTAGGTACAATTAAATGGCTCCTCTGAAAAAAAGAAGTGGGTTAGGGATTTTTTTCTTTTTGCTAAAGGGAGTGTAGTCTGAATTTATTCATTCATTTTTTGGCAGAGCACAGGGGTGTTTGATTGTCCATTTCTCATCCACAAGTTATTTAATTATATCCTTGTATTGTAAGTTTTGTTTACATCAATAAAATGGCTTTTGCATGTCTAACAGGTCAAAAAGGTGTGTTTAGCCAAATGCAATCCTTCCTTAATTTGGGGGGGAATCCCTTCAGTAATTTTTCTACAGTCCCTAAGTACAGTATGTGCAATTGTGTCCGTTTTTTTTTTTTTTTTTTAAATTCTAATAAGCCAAAGTAAGTTAAACATTATCACACATTACTCGTCCAACACACGGACGATTGTGACACATCACATTTTGAATTACTGAGACTGACTTCATAGAATTGAAAGTGGACTGAGCACATAAAGTGGATCTATTATTTTATCTCACACACATAAACACACACACACTGAAACAGATAGCAATGTGATAAACTACGCTGCTGCCAAGGTGACTAAATCAAAGTGGATGCTGTGCGTTCTCCGTCAGGTCTATTGGGGCTGGTAGGTGAATCACACAAGTATATTAATCTTAGATTTTGTTTTGCGTGCGATCCAGCACCCACCTCAAGCTGACACTGACTCAGTGTACCTCACACTAAACAACATGTGTGTTCACTGCGTTGCATATGTCAATACATGCACAATTTCCACGCATTGTACATCTTGGGCATGTGCACGCCAACCTCCAGGTGGAAGTGTGCGGCAAACTGTTTTAGCAGTGGCGGGTTCTTTTAAAAAAGGCCCCTGAATTTGTCTTACAATCATAAATTAGCACAAAGGCTTTTATAAGTGAACTCAGTCGACACAGAGGGGGACGGTTTATCTGTGGCAGCATAACTGTGTAGCTGGTTTGGACGCTGCAGTAGGCAGTGGTCAGGTACATGTACAAACAAACAAGTAATGAAAAATCCAAGTAAGCACACTTACTCCATTGGGGGGATATGACGTCCAGCCTAGCTCTGCCTGAGTCTCTTTAGAATTCAGCAGCACCACTGCAGGAAACACACAAGAGAAGGGAAGAAACAGACAAGGATGAGGTTGTAGATCAATTAAGGTGGCACTGTAGCACCATTATGCTTTTATATCATGTCACCAGTAAAAAAATACAGTATGTTTGTGAACAATGTGCCTTGAGTGCATGACAACAAAGCAGGACAAAGACTAATTCAAAAAAGAAACCTTCTTAATTTTACAAGTCAACAATTTAAGTGCAACATGGCATGTTATATTTGGAATAATCACAAAAAGCCATTAACACTGAGGCAGGCTCATCAAAATATAACGAGGCCTCACGTATCCTTTGATAAGTGCATTAATGCCATGTGTTGAGAACTTAAGCTGGACAAACAGCTTTGTATCCTCCTCGGGCTTCAGAAGTAAAAACACAACAGAGACTGCAAACAAAACAGGACAGCAGAGCTTTCAAAACAAACTGAGACATCGATGTGCATACTGCAGTGTGCGTTTTTCTTTCAGCACCACAAACGGGGAACAAGATTTGCCTTTGAGTTTTCAGAACCATGGACACAAGATATTAGGCAGCGTGAAGCCAGAGAAAGGTCCAAGCATCAGCTGCTCAAAGGACACACAGCAAGGTGAAGTTTGACCTAAATATTTCTTTAGGTGGCAAGTGTTCCCATTTTAGATGTGGCCTTACCACAAGGCCAGTGAAGGGACAGAAACGCATTCACTCTGTTACTGGCCTTGAGTACAATTTTGAGGTACTTCACTTATATAACCATGTTCTTTCACTTCACTGTGTTTAGGGGGAATATTGTACTTTTTATTCTATGTAAATCAAACATTAAGGAAATCTCTACTGATAACTAATACAAAATTGTTTATTTTTCAATTAACCTTTCAACAGTTTATTCTGTATAATGAGAAATTTATTAAAAAATGCCCTTTACAATTTCCTAGAGCCCCAAATTGCTTATTTATTCCAACTAATTGGCATTTCTCATAATTTTCCAACATTTCATAGATAAAAGATTAATTAAGGAAATATTAATCTAATTAGCAATCTTGTCTTCTGTTGCAATTATGCTGTAATATCAGTACTGTGGCTGAATTACAGAACATCTGAATTAGACCACCACCACCACTGCAAAATGCCCATGATAGCAGTAATGTGTGTCAGGAAACCAAACTGTTCAAGTACTTTATCCAACATTCAAACCAAAGTTGACATAGCAAAGCAAAGAGCCACAGCTGACTGGTCAGCATGTCTTTGAGCAGTCAGATGAGACTGGCCATTGTTTCGTATTCAGTGGTACGCAGTAGGCATACGTGAAAGCAGTCATCAGCACATTTATCTTAATCTATAACGTTATATCAACAGCTGCAGTGACATATGGTGAGCTGCATTACCGGCTCTTTTTTAAAGGATTTTGCTGATGTTAAAGTTAGACACGCTTTAAGCTTGTCTGCTTAAAAATTCCCCACCCTAACACACACACACACAGCTCCAAGCTTTCTTGCAGTGTCCCCAACACCTACAGCCTCAAGGCAATATGAGGTCTGACAGCCAGCCATTTTTTCCAGCACTTTGAAGACCCCACATACCCGCACACCCCCCGTGCAGAGACTTGCTTGACATGCTTTTTTCATCTTTAAAAAGTGCAACTCTTGTACTTCAGTGTGCTACTTGGCTTTAACTTTTGTTTTTACTGCTTCCACTTTCATCCGCATCAGGGGCCATGTAATAGCTACTGGGGAAAAAAAAAAAAATCCAGCCCCAGAGTAACAGGTCCCTTGACAAGTAACCATTTCACCTTATCCTAAGCATTTCTGCCAACCTAGAAAAGCATCACTTTGATCTCATACCCGCCCCTTCATGACAAATGCATGGTCTCATCAACAATACTAACTGGACACATGGTGAATAAAAAGATGAAACCTACGCAGTCTGACTCATGCTGTAGTCCTTGTGAGAAATGACAACTCAAGACCTGTAATCTTACTGACTCATGCTGTAACAAGGAGGCTATGGAAAGATGAGGTAATGTACCAAAAGGGAAGGAAGATTTCTGAAACTTGAACTGAGTATCAAGTGTCAAAATAAACCCTGCAATACACTGGCTGAACATTTGCAAGAGGCGTTCTACAGTTTTTCCATCCTGAGGCCATGGCTACATCCGCTAAGAAGAAAAACATTAATACAAAGGTTACATAAATATCATTTCAGACAAAAAAAAAAAAAGACCTGTTACTCCGTGTCATGACAGATTGGATAGCCACAACCCTTAGAGGCAGTTTTGGGTTTACTAGAAAAGGAGATAGCTGTGCCTTGGCTAGAAGACTTGCTGGACCATGAGATCTTTTACTAAACACTTAGCTTCATTGTTTCTGGGTTAACACCGTTGGGTGCCCAAAGCATGGTTCTGTGGTTAGCTGATAACATGGAGGCATTTGGAGAAGATTAGAGAGGGAGAGGGCAAGGGTGGTAGAGAGGCACAGAGGTTGAGGCAGGAAGCCAAAAGAGACGAGAGAAAATAATCAGTGGAAGAAGGTGACAAGAAAGAAAGAGGGCCAACATGAAAGAAAAATACAAAAATAAAAAAGTTGAGCTGGCAAAGGAGTCAGAAAAAAGAAGCACATGAAGAACAAATAAATGAATACACTGAGTAATACACGGAGGGATCAGTATGCCTTAGTGAGTCAGTCAATCAGTCAGAGAGACTCGGAGGACAAAGTTGGCACTATGATCACACACTGAATACATAACTCCTGTAATCACAGCCTAGTTAGACAGACTAATGGACCTCTGGGGACAGACGAAACAGAGGCAGATAAGAAAAAGAGAGGATGACAAAAAAAAAAGTTTAGTAAAAAAACCGAAGCAAAGGAAAGAAGGGGCACCAAAAGGAGAAAGAACAGAAGACAAAGAAACAAAAGCTCTCCCTTTCTACTACGCATGGCTCTGACTAATATTCATGACACATTAGCTACTAAACACCAATTTCAAAGGTTGTTTCATAAGTAATTGCCTGTCATTATAGGGACAATGTGAATTTGTGAGCAAGTTCTGTGTTTTTGTCCATTTGGCCTCAGCTCTATTTAAGACACAAAATGAGGCTGACTTTTATCACTAATAGAAAAACATTATGATCACAGCCTGTGGACAGATGATGCATAAAGAGAGCCAGTTCGGCTTTGCTCTCATTATGTGGAGAGCTGGAGTAAAGATAGAGTGCTTTCTGTCAGGTGAGGAGGATTATTGATCCCCTAGTTGCTTATGTTTCGATAAAAAATTAAAAATGAACAGACATGGGAGAGGGCGGCTTTCAAAACCTTTTGAAAATTGATCAGCTGGGCAAAGAAACTGCCTCCATAATGGAGTAAAGGGCATTTTGATGTCTGTCTTGAAATTCAAGGCTTTCATTTCAGCGTTGGATGCGAGGCATGCAAAAGTTAACAGCAATCTTGAATAGATTTTTTTGGTAGTCTGGTAAACAACTTCTGTGTTTTTCTCTTTCAAATGAGACCTTTACGTTTTGAGGCAGGCATATGCATTGTGGGTAGAGAACAATAAACAGTAAATGGACTGCATTTACCATTTACCAGAGCAAATTCAACGTCTTGCCCAAGGACACTTCAACAGGAAGTGAATCTCCAAACCTGCGATTAGTGAACGTAGAGCAGGCTGTCCGAGCCACAGCCACTACTAGAAGACTGACTTGAATTGTAGATTCTGATTGTGTGTTTCTGTTATGCGCCTGTGTGTTCATTCATACGTTTCATTCTACGTGAAGTATTGGAGGTGGGTTTTGATTAGCTTTTTTCTTTTCATTTGAAGTGTAAGCTTCTCTTTTTTTTTTTTTTACTTTCCTCCCTCAGCTCACCCACACTTATCTTTCTCTGGTTTGTGTGATGAATGAATTGAGTTGTTCAGCCTTGCTGATACTCGGGGGTGAGACCTAATGACGAATACAAAGTGAGCACTGAAGGAAGGCATTGCTGTGTCAGAGATGTACACTACAGCATTCAGGTCAAGTATCCAAAAGAAAGAGACACAGGCTTTTGGTGCACCCATAGCACTCAGGAAAGGCCAAACACTAAAATCTGGCCTTTGTCAAGCATGTAGCCAGCTCTCCCACAGCTATTTTTGCTTTATAGTAGTAGAAAGCAACATGAAGACAGCTTTGTCAGAGAGGCCAATTTAAAGGGCTTCCAAGATTAAGGGTTCTAATTTTTTTTGCTAGAACTGTGTTTGTGTGCAGGTCTTGAACCGACACTCCCAAGCCAAAGGAAAGAAGAGCAGGAAGAGCAAAAAGAAATGCACAGGTACGGCAATGCCTAATAAAACAAAGCTATGTATCCATTTTACCAGAGATATTTTGTCACAAACAGAAATCTGTCTCTCTGCTGAGACACAGCACACAAATACACAGTGTTGCACAACAATATATCCTGCCAAACACCAAGCAGTTAAATCCCTTCAAGTGAAAAGGGTTCATTTCATCATTTGTCTTGATATAGTTTCATAGCGGGATTAGCTCCAGTATTGTACCGCTGTCCTCTCGGCAGCTCGCGGGCTACTTTATCAGCTGGTCCAGACCCACGCACGTCAGGGAGCTCAAAAAGCTCAACCTGCCCAAAGAGGGAGCACAGAGACAGGGATAGGCACAGGTCAGTGATGGTCCACTGGGAAAACTGTTGTCGAGGCTTTATCTTTCTTATACTGTACAACTGGAGAGTGGAAGGAGAACTGAAACTTTAAACAGGCTGAAAGTGAGATGGACGGAGTGGGACAGGAAATACAATATATACAGTAGTACAGCTTGAGACTTCAGCCTTCAGCCAGACGTGCTACTGAAGACATGCGCCTTGACTTAAGTTCACCCTCAAAAACTTGTCTTAATCAAAACATGCCCAAAGGCTCTGATACTTGACTTGCAACTCAATTTCACACACTATAGACTTGATTTTGGACTTGTTGCAATGACTTGGAACTGTCATAATTTTGGACTTAGTGTGGACTTTAACTCAA